TAACTTCACCATAGAATAGAAACGCGATAAAATCAAAACAGTTGTCGATTCCTTATCTAGATTGCCTAAGGATAGGGTGACTTGTCCTTCCTTTCTTTTTCCACTCACTAATTTTTCTTTTTCCTAGATCAAAGATTTAAAAAATAAAACTCTTACATCTCCCGATAACCTTCAGCTTATTTCTCAACTAGCGAAAAGTGAACTCTCTCATTCATATTATCAAATTGGGGATAATATTCTTTATTGTCAAGGTTGTATCTATATCCATAAGACATCTTAACTCAAAAATAAAGTAATCGCGAAATTTCATTCTACACCTCTTGTCGGTCATCAGGGTATTCTTAAAACTATCACACAAATCTCTGCTATTTTTTATTGGTCAGGTCTCAATAAAGATGTTACTGACTTCGTTAGTTAATGTCTTATATGTCAAGAAATCAAAATCTCTACTTTGCCCCCCTACTGGTCTCTTAACGCATTTACCTGTACAATTACAAATTTGGGAAGATTTACTATAGATTTCATTACTGGTCTACCTAGATCAAAAGGGTACACTACTATTCTGGTTGTAAGTGAATGTTTGTCTAAATATGCCCGTTTTGGCCCCTTAACTCCAAACTATTCCACATCTCGAGTGGTTGAATTTTTGCCAATATGGTCGTTAGATTGCAAGATTTTTCTAAAACTATTTTCTCATACTGAGATAGCATTTTTTAAGTAATTTCTAGCGTCGTCTTTTTAACCCAAATAGTACTACACTTCACTACAATACTACATATCAATCTCAAACTGACGGCCAAATAGAGGTTCTCAGTCTATGTTTAGAATAATATATGTGTGCCTATACCTCCATCACTCCGAGGTTATGGTCTATATTCATTTATTGGGCTAAATTGTGATATAATACTTCTTTACACGCTGTTATTTAGATGTCCCCTTATCAAACTCTATATTGCAAATTACCACCATCAATTCCATCATACATCCTTGGTACTTCGGACATTGACGTTGTTGATACTCTATTAACAAACCGTGAAACCCTTTTACATCAGCTCCGTCAAAAAATGCCTTAGGCCCAACATCATATGAAATTAATGGTCGATCGTAATCCTTGTGATTTAAAATTATTCATAGGTTATGGTCAAACACCAACTGTTCCTCAAAATTCAGTCGTCAATCTTACACATTCTAAACCAACCAAACAATAGTTCGAACCTTTTTCCATTCAAGCTATTATAAGTCCCATGGCCTACCAACTTTCACTACCTCCCAAAAGCAAAATCCACCTAGTATTCAATAATTTTGTGCTCAAACCTTTTAAAGGTGATCATCCATAACCACTTGTTGGCTCAAGAAAAATGGCACAAGTGCACGAATCCCGCTTTGCAGCCGTAGGATTCCATTTTCCTTAAGTCAGATTGAAATTAACCAGATTTCCCCTGAGGTTAGTGTCAGGGTTTATAGATCTGAGGTTCTTACTTTCTATGAGCGCAAGCACTCATAGTTAATTACCCCTCTTACTACATAAGAGAGAACTCTCGATTAATGATGAAATAATTTTTAGTTATTTTTTTAGTCTCAATTGTGGGGAAGATGAAGGTAAACCCGATCAAGATCTCATAGTTCCGTCGTCCCAGGTATATCGTAGGTTTCAGTCTACCAACACTAACAATCATTGACCATAGTGTCCAGGAAATCTGATTAGCAGCCATGGGTTGCCTCCTCTCAGGGATCCCGAGTAGACTGAAGTGGTTAAGTGTGAATCTTAGTTTGATTTAATTTGGGTTAGGGCTTATTACTTCCTTAGAAGTTGCCCGTTAATTTATTTAGTTTGGGGCTTACGACTCCATTAGGAGTTGCCCGGATAGTTTTTTT